AGGACTGCTGTGGGTTTGAGGCCAGGCTGAACTTCATAAGTGGGTTCAAGACCAGCCTGAACAGCATAGCAAGGTCCTTTCTCAGCTTACCCCCCACCAAACAAATAAATGAAACAAGTAATACTGGACATAAAAGATCAGATAAACATAAACATAATTATAGTGGGAGACCTCAAAACCTCACTATCACAAAGAGATCAACTAGTCAAAAAATCAACAAACAAATATGAGTTGAACAAAAGTTTTTAAACAAATGGGCTTAACAGATATCCACAGAGTGTTCCACCCAATGAAAATAAAGTATACATTCTTCACAGCAGCACATGGAACTTTCTCCAGAATAGACCACATCATAGCCAATAAAGCAACCTTAAGTATATGTAAAGGAATTTAAATTATACCATGCATATTTATCAGATCATAGTACAATGAAGCTAGAAATTAACGACAAAAGAAAACACAAATTATGCCACGGCATGGAAACCAAACAATATTCACTTAAACATTGGATTACAGAAGAAATCAAGGAAGAAATTAAAAGTTTCTAGAACTAAACAATAATGCTAGTGCAACAAACCAGAATTTCTGGGACACAAGGAAAGCAGTCCTAGGAGGGAAGTTCATAGTTATGAATGTCCATATCACAAAAACAGCACGCCCAGATAAATAACCTAACAATGGAGGTCCTAGAAAAAAAGAACAAACAATTCAAACCCAAACCTAGTACAAGAAAGGAAATTATGATGATCAAGGCAGAAAAAACAAACAAACAACAATATCAAAGTTGGCTCTTCAAAAGAATAAATGAAACAGAGAAACCCTTAGCTAATCTAACCAAAAGAAGAGGAAAAAAAAACCAAAATCAATCTAATTGGAAATGAAAAAGGAGAAATTATAATGAATACTACCAAAATAAAAAAGGTTATAACAACTACTTTGCAAATCTGTACACAAATAAATTGGAGAATACAGAAGAAATGGATAGATTCGTAGATTACATAAGAATTACCAAAACTGAACCATGAAGATTTAAAAACTCCAAATAATCCAGTAAGAGGCAATGAAATTGAAGCAACAAAAAATAAACAACTAAACAGAACCCTGCCAATTCAGAAAAACCCAGATCCAGATGAATTCTCTACTGAACTCTACAAAAATGTCAAGGAAGATTTAACACCAATACCTTGATGCTCCCTAATGATGTTGAAAGGGAGTACTCCCAAAGACATTTGTGGGAGCTACCATTACCCTGATTCCAAAACTAGACAAATGAATGGATTATATCTCATAAACAGAAGCAAGGACAAAAATCACATCATCATCTTGGCATAACAGGCAATAAAGAAAGCCTTGTCAAAAAGCCTTTGACAAAAATTCAATATCCTTTCATTATAAAAAAACATTGAAAACACTAGGTATAAAAGGGCCTTCTCTCAGTCTGATTAAAGCCATTTATGACAAACTGATTGCCAACATCACTTGAAATGTTACAAACTGAAAGCATTGCCTCTAAAATAAAAAACAAGACAAGGATGTCTACTATCACCATTAACACAGTACTTGAAATACTAGCCAGAGCAATCATGCAAGAAAAATAAATGAAAAGGATATTGTATGAAAGGAAGAGCCCAAGATACCAATGTTTGCAGATGGCATTAGCCTCTACATGGAAGACCCAAGAGACTCCTAGAATTAATAACCAAATTTAGTAATGTAGCAGGATACAAAACCAACACACAAAAATCAATAGCACTCCTTTATAGCAATAATGAATCCACTGAGAAGGAAAATATCCATGATAGCACCAAGAAAAATTAAATACTTAGGAATTAACCTAACTAAGGAAATAAAAGACCTCTACAGTGCTCTGAAAAAGGAAATCGGAGAGTACATCAGAAAAATGGAAATATATCCCTGGTCCCTGGATAGGCAGAACCAATATAGTCAAAATGGTTATGCTTCCAAAACTGATACACATATTTAATGCAATCCCAATCAAAATAGCATCAAACATTGGATTACAGGAGAAATCAAAGATTTCCTCAAAGAACTAAAGAACACAAATCTAAAATTCATTCAAGGGAACCAGAAGAAACTCAGAATAGTAAAAGCAATCATGGGTAACAAGAGTATAGAAGGGGGAATTACAATCCCGGGCTTGAAGTTATATTACAAAGCTACAGTGGTTAAAAAAATAAAAACAAAGCCAGGCATGATGACACGTGCTTGGAATCCTAGCACTTGGGAGGCTGAAGCAGGAGGATCGTTGCAAATTTAGGATCAGCCTGGGCTACAAAGTGAGCTCATGTCAGCCTGAACTACACAGTGAAACCCTCTCTCAAAGAGACAAAAAAATTAAAAATTAAAAACAAAACCCCCCAGAAGACAGCATAGTACTGGCACAGAAACAGACACAGGATCAATGGACCAGAACAGAGGACACAGAAACAATTCCAAGCACACTCAAGCTATTTGATCTTTGACAAAAGAGATCAAAAACATGTCCTGGAAGAAAGCTGGTCTCTTTAATAAACAGTGCCAGGAAAATTAGCTATCCACATGCAGAAAATTGAATCTAGATCCATGGCTCTCATCATTCACTAAAGCCAAAGTGGATTAAGGATACAGCACAGGAGGTGGTCTGACCACAGTGAAGAGGGGCGACTTGCCTCTGAGAATAGGCCAGGGGGAGCAGGGAGGCCCTGGCTGGAAAGTGCTCAGGTCTCCTGCAGAGGCTGGCCGCCTGCTGAGGGACAGGTGGCCCTTAGACACCCACAGGGAAGGTGACAAGTTGGCTCCTGGTGTCCCGCACAGGCCCTGAGGTTAGACCTCTGACTCCAGGACTGTTAAGAGCGCATCTGTGATGTTTGCAGCAGCTTGTGTGGTAATCTGTTACCAATACAGCTTTAGGAAGATAGTGCCACCAGTTTACAACCCCAGAAGCACACTGTCTGGCTCAGTCCTTCGACTTGTCTTCGAAGCCTATTAAGAAGCCTGTGTCACCATAAGACGGTTTCTTTCATGATGCTCAGAGAGAGGCTTCTGGTAAAAGAAAACAGTGACCCTGAGGCTCCGGGTTCCCGAAGGACCTGCCACAGAACTGAATGCCTTGGCATCTCCCCAAGGCCTTAGGCAACCACCACTTGATCTGCCAGGGCCTGTGAAAGGGCTTCATGTCATGTTAAAAATAATTTTTTTTTCCTTATTACCAAAATGAAACACATGAAAACACATCAGAAAATCCAAAGAAGCAAGAAGGGGAAACACCACCAACAATAGACAACACTGCATCTCAGTCTTGACGCCACAGAGAGGCCTTTTCAGGCCTTTCAAGTAACCATGTGCACAACTCAACACCCTAATCATTCTAAAAACGCGATTCCAACTATAAAATGTTCATGGGCCATGCATCGCTTTCCACATTGAGGATATTCACCTGCAATGGGAGTTTGGAAAGCATGGTCTATGTCTCCAGGATCACTTTTTGGAAGGAGTCAGGAGCTCAAAATTACTTTGATTGTAATATTTGAAATTATTTGGCTTTACCACTCTGATGCTCTCACAAGCACACACGAAGGTTTCCCAGAGGCCCCATGGTCCATGTTACTGAGCTGCGCAGATACAGATAGACAGAAAGCAAACCCGGCTTCTGCTGCTTGACGTTTGCAAGAGGGCACACGTCTGAAACTATGCCACTCTGCACACTGTTTTCTCTGTTTTGAAATATACTTATTTCTCATAAAATGTTATTTAGGTTACCATATCACAGGCTATTATTTTTAAATGAAATAATGGATAATTTTTATATGCCTGTTTAATTTCAAAAGTGTTGATAGAGGAGCACGCGCAAAGCCTCTGCAGAAGCCTTCTATAATTTTCAAGAGTGCGTAGAGGGGCTTCTTTACACGAAAGTCTGCTGCCTTCCGAGCTACATCTTTTCATATTTTGGCTGAGGATGGAGCCCAGGGCCTCACCGACTCAGGGTAAGAACTCTCTCCACGGCGCCCTTGCCCAGCCTTAAAGTATCATTTATTTAAATGGCTGCATCAGTCTATCTATCTGGAGTACCGTAATTCCACGAAGCCATAAAATTAGAATAAGATCCAGAAAGTTAAATTTGTGCAATCATTTTTAAAAATTGTATGCATGTGTACGGTCATGCGTTCTTGCAGTACTGGGGATTGAACCCCAGGCCTTCGCCTGGGCCGCATCCCGGCCCTCTTTAGTTTTGAGACTGGGTCTGTCTCGCTAAGTCTCTAAGTCGCCGGCGGGACTTGAATTCTCGGGATGGTCTTGCTTCAGCCTCCCTGCGTGGTGGGATTCCAGGCGCGCACCGCCCCGCCCGGGCACCTCGGTGACTCTCCCGTGGGGTGACTTTCCAGGCTGCTGGCTTGCTGCACAGGCCCCACCTCGCGAGGCGGCCACCGCGGGCTCTTCCTCCTTCCACTTCCTGCCAGTGGACACTAGGGAGGGGAAAGCTCGGACTCTGCTGCTTTAAGGCTGTAACACTGGGCCATCACCTCCCAGGGAAAGGGCACTTGTGGATCACCTAACGCTATAGGTTCTGTCGACTTATTCACCTCGCCGTTAGTTTAAAAAGCGAGTTTTTTGGAAGCCGGAGAAAGAACCGAGCGCGTCCGTGCTTCCCGCGGGGCCTGCGGAGAGGGCGTGGTTCACGGCAAGACTCCCCGATGGGCGTGTCTCGGGGAGGGCGTGGTCTTGGAGAGCGCTGGTGGGCGTGGCCTGCGGGCGGCGTGGGCGGGCGCGACTCCCCAGCAGGCGGCGGGCGCGGGCGTAGCCGAGTGCGGAGGACGCGGCGCGCCTGACTCTTCGCGGCGCTGAGGGGACGCGGCCTGGCCTGGCTCGGCGACGCGAGGACCGGGGGGCACGACGGGGGGCACGGCGGTGAGCGGGCGAGCCGGGCGGGCTTGGGCCTGTGCGGTGCGGGGCGGCGGGCTGGGCCTGCGCGGCGCGGGGCGAGGCCCGGCCCGGTGTCCCCGCGCGAATGAACGGCTTTCCCGGCGGCCGCGGCAGCGTCCCCCCTCGGGGACTCGGCCGTGCGGGAGCGGCGCGCCGTGGCCACGGGAGCGAGAGGCCGGGCTCTGAAGCTGAGAGCCGGTTCCGGTCAGTCTGGGTTCTGGCCCACTTTGTTTTCTGGGAATGCGCAGCGGCCCTGCGCCCGGCCCTGGGGTCGCAGCGGCGGCAGGAGTGGGGCGCAGATGGGCTGATGCCCCGCGACCTTCTGCCTGCGCTGGACCCGGGCCCCGCGAAGGCCCGCAAGCCGACCTTTACCCCTCGCTCGGGAGTTACTTTAATTGCCTGTGTTCGGGGAGGGGGGGGGTGTGTTTAACGCCCAGAAACTTACCTTGTAAAGGTTGAATCATTCTGTGGGCTGTTAAACCCCTGCCAGAATTTGTGCGGGTCGTTTTTATATTTGAACTATAATATCTTCTTAATAACTTTGAAGCATGTAACAGAAATGAAAGGATAGGTTTACATTTAATAAATTATTCAGTTATTAATGCAATTAACAATTGGCCGTCCCCCTCTGTTACTGGCTCGTTATTTGACTGCAGATTCCTCTCTTGGAGCCACTGTATTTCATTAATAACAGGCAAAATGAAATCGCCATAAATAATCATGAGAAGAATTTCCACAATTCCAGTATTTAAATAACTGGACTCGGGGCATAGTTTGGTGGGAGGCACTTGGGTGGCATGTACTGCTAGGCCCTGGGTAGAATCCCATGTGTAAAGCACACCTGCAGAAAGTGTTTTTAAATTGTTAAGACAGTAGTGGTGGTTTTCATATGGGTTCAAAGCTGAATAATAATGGACCTAAAATTAAAGTCGAATCGTCATTCAGTCTTTTGACATAACAGTAAGTCTTGGTTTCTGTGTGGGTGTATCACCCCCCCACACACTTGCGGTTGATTGAAAGTTGGTTTGTGTATGTCCAGCTTGCTGGGAGTTTTAGGTCATCTCGGCGGGAGAATCATGAAGTCACACTGCGTTGCTGCGCTGATGTTGGCAGGGCTGATGTTCCTCCTGTGGCTGCCAGGATCCCTGAGCTGCAACAAAGCCCTGTGTGCCAGCGACGTGAGCAAGTGCCTCATCCAGGTGGGACTGCGGAGGTTGGGTCTGTTAGGTGCAGTGGTGATGTATGTGTAGCACACAGGTGCAACTCGGGCCTGAGTGTTGGGTGCCAAACATCAGACCCTGAGGTACCGAATCATGGTGTGCTCCTGATTTTTACATCAGTGGTCAGATTCAGGGAGCTCTAGACCAACTGCAGTATCCAGCTTTATATCCCACATGCCACTCTAGGGGAAGAAACGCTCAGTCCAGATGAACTGAAGGATTTCCTTGTGTAATTTGGTTTATAGAGCACAGTCTTAATGACTCAGTGTTGAGAAACAAAATTAGCCAGCTAGTTAACAGGCAGTTGTACCCTAAGAATAAAGTATGCGTTTTCTGTTGTGTAACAAATTACAGCATAGTGGCAGCTTAGTGCAGTGAATATTATGTCGTGGAGTTTCTGAGGAGCATTTCATTTGGGGGTTCTGGCTTAGGTCTCACAGGTTGCAGGTAAGTTACTGGCTAGGATGAGAGAACCAGCTTCCAAGAGAGTTGAAAACAAGTTTACTAAGTTCCAGCCAGCCTTGCTTTTCATTTCTCCAAAAAGAACAGTGAGTTAGGCAGTTTGGCTAGGTTCACGTAGCTCGTAAGTCCTGTGGAATTTCATCTCTGACTCCAAAGTGCACTGTCTTTGCACTAAACATACTGGTCAGTTCTCTCATAAAGTTGTGAAAATTAGTGGCAGACTAATGTCTTCCATAGCAGGTTTCTTTTCCGCTCCTGTGTGGCCACTAGCAAGCTCTCGTCTATCAGCCTCCCTTTGATTACTAGCTGTGAGCTAAAAAGTCCAATAATTGCACATATGGGTTGGTTACCACTTACTTAAATGGTTGGGGCCTAGATGTGTTTCAGATTTTGAAACATTTGCATCTTGGGAAGGGATTGAAATTTAAATGGAGAATTCATATCCACCTCATACACCTCATTCATATCCACCTTGAGATTTTTTTATGCAGTGCTTATATTTTGTCAGACTCATCGGCTGAGGTTGGGTGTGGGATTTCCACAGTGACTTCATGGTGGTACTCACAAAAGGTTGGACTTCGGAGTATTTCAGGTCTTGAAACTTTGGATTAGAGGCACTCAGCCTATATTAGCAGTCTGTCTGAAGCTTGAGTCAGCTAACTCTTGACTATAATCCTCACTTGAGGTAATTGCATGTATCTACTAGAGTGATAATTATTTTGGTAGACCAAAAGCATTTTGTGCTTATTTCTGACATTTTGGTCCTTTTTATTAAGAATTCAAATTCTGGTTGCTCCCATCTGTTACGGCTTTATCTACATTACTCCCAACACCTCACACAGTCATAGGTGGGAATTTTCAGAAGTGTCTGGATCCAGAGTGTGAGATAACTAAATTAGTCCGCCGATCGGTTTAGTGCAGTTCTGGATGTGGGTAACAGGAAGACCTACCCTGAGTGCGGGTGGTACCAAGAAACAGGCTGGTAACCTGGGTGGGATAAAAGGCTCACACATGCTGCCACTTCCTGCCTGCCCTCCTATGGACTGTTTCTCTTTGGCCTTGGAGCTGCCCAACTATGGACTGAAACTTCTACAAACTATGAGCTAAAGTAAGCCTTTCCTCCCTAGCTTGTGGGTGTTGGGTATTTTGTCTTAGCAATGAAAAAGTAACTAAGACATTATTTCATACCCTTTACAATCTTTACTTTGCATTTCAAATCACTTAACTAGGGAAGGTGGTTGGTAAGTTGCTTGGCTTACACACTTTTTACTGTGGACATTTTCAAGTCTGAACAGAGGAGAGTATAATAAACTCAGCAGATAAATCAATCACTAACTCAAAGATACCCCTCATCTGTACTCTTCTACACCATCTACCCTAACTGTATTTTAATTTCAAGATAATCTTTTATTCTGTTTTACCCATAATACCAATGTGTATCTCTAACAGATAAAAACTCTTTAATGCAAAGCTATTAGATCAATATAATGACCTAAAAATTAACAGTAACTTGTCTGCTTAGGCATGTGCTGGCTCTGAGGTCTGTCATTTGCTTCTGAGGTACAGCTGTGCCATGACCAGATGGGGAATCTATGCCACCCCAGGTTCCAGTTCAACTTCATTATTAAAATTAAAGCCTTAGAAGCTTTGCTGTACCGGTCTGTAGGTGGAAATTCATGTAAATCAGAAATCCTCAACTTTTTTGGCACCAGTAACAGGTTTTATAGAAGACAGCTTCTCCATGGACAGTGAGAGCAGGGAGTTTGTGATGATTTAAGTACATTACATTTATTGAGCACTTTATTATTATTATATTGTAATATATAATGAAATGATTATACGGTTCACCATAATGCAGGGGAGCTCTGGACTTTTTTTTCTTGCAATTAGATGGTGACTCCATGGTGGCGTTTTGGTTACTGTCACTGCAGTAGAAAACTCTGGTTCACAAAGATAGGATGTTGAGAATGGAAGCAGGCTTTTTAGTGCTTTTGTGGTAATCTCGGGATATTCTACCTTGCCTCCAATGCAGAACATATGGAAATCTGAAATGGTCTCCAGCAGAGCACTATCATCAGCTCAGCCCACTGATGCTCTTCTGGCATGGCCAAAGTTTATTCACCTGGTTTATTCACAAGTGGGTCATAGATCCATTCTTTCCCAGTATGGGGTGTTTTATGGTTGGCAAATGAAGTTCAAATTTTTCTGGGAGGAGATTGGTAATTGTGTACCAATCAGGAGAAAGGAAGCCCTGGCTCAGTCTCTTTCAAAATCTCTCTAATATTTGAAAGATGTCAACAAATCCCCAGTGTTCATTTGTTCCCCCGAGGTGACGGATTGAGTTTGGTGGGCAGGTTGATTATATGTCACATAAATAAGCATATTTTATGTTCCATTCAGTTTTGCTGAGATGTGGTGTTGGTGGTGACTTTTTCTCAAAGAAGTTGGATTTTAACTGAAAGCTTTTTTTTTTTTTTTTGTCTTTTTCATTTTTCATTTTTTTTATCGGTACCAGGGATCGAACTCACGACGGCCTGCTTGCAAGGCAGGTGCTTATGCCGCTGAGCTAAATCCCCAGCCCCTTAACTTAAAGCTTTTAGATTTCTCTTGCCACTCACTGATAGTGTTTTGATGTGACTCTGCAAGCAATCATTTTTGAGGGCCTCGGTGCCATCAGCCCTCTGTGCTGTGTTAATTTCTGTTTGCAGCCTCTCCCCAGTGCTAGCATCACTGTCTCAGCTCCACTTCTGATCATCAGGAGCGCACAGTGTAGATCTTCACACATGAAGTTTGCAGTAAGGTCCGTAGTCTTATGAGAATATGAGCTGAGCTGATAGGAGGCAGAATGTAGGCTGTAATTTGAGTGATGGGGAGAAGCTCCCATTGCTTTCCCTGTTGCTCACCTGTTGTGCACCCCAAACTGATGCCAGATACCAGATTGGTGTTCCTTGACTTGAATCCCAGGGTATTTTTGCTTGTTCTTGTTGGTTGTTTTGTTTGTTTGTTTGTTTCCCTTGTGGTACTAGGAATTGAACCCATAGCCTTCACACTAATCTCATCCTCAGCCCTTTCTTATTTTGAGACAAGGTCTTACCTGACCTAATTGGTAAGCCTCCTGCTTCACCTTCCTGGAATGCTGAGAAGTATGCCACCACACCCAGACTCTCCAAGTCTATAACTTCTCTTAGTTACAATAATTAAAAATTACACTTTATTTAAAATGCTTTGCTTTTAAGGAGTTTATGTATTTATTTAGTCTTTTTGAGACAGAGTTTCACAATGCAGTTCTGACTGGTCTTAAACTTATAGCAATCCTCCTGTCTCAGCCCCTTGAGTTATAGGTGTATACCACCACATCCAGCCTCATTCTTCTCAATTTCAATCAATGATTTTTTTGCATTTAAAAAGTTTACGTTAGTCCATGTTTGTAGTACATAGTGATTATAGGTTAGATGAACACAGTGAAAAATAGAGCCCTGGACCCACTTCTCCCTGTTTCTCCTGGCGCCCATGAAGAGCTGCTTTTTCGTGTATGTCCACGGCTTCTGTGAGTGCTTTTTAGCCATGTAGCAAAATCATCCCCTTCTGCTGCTCTTTTGTGATTTCTCAGCCGTAGTTATAAGGCATCTCAGGCTTGGTGCCTGATGGGTACAGCTGTAGTTGGCTGCCTTCACCCCAGCTGCCAGTGGTCACTGTTTCCTGTTTATCTCTTGGTTACCTTTCTGCTTCTGTAGCATGTTGAACCTTTCTGACCTATCCTACCAACAAGACATATCATCTCTAGATTCCTGAGAACCAAGAATCAAGCATAGAAAAAAAATAGCCCCACTCTTTGCTTTTAAAATTTTCTTTTATATTGTGAAATGATTCAGGGTATAGTTTTATTTTATTTTGAGTTTTTTGAGACAGGTTCTAACTATGTTGTCCTTGCTTGAGTTAAAGATCCTCCCGCCTCAGCCTCCTAAATGTTGGGATTACAGATGTGTGCCACCATGTCTGGCTTTAAAATATAATTTTAGTTTTAAAAACAGCAGTGCGTTTCTTTAGGGACTCTGGAAAAGGGAGAGTTTATTGGGGCTGCAAACTTCTGGTCGGCCTGGGAACCTGCCAAAGGTCACCACTCTGCAAGTCATGAAAGACAAGAAATCTGCGTCCTTGCATCTATAAAGACTGCCCTCAGACTTTCTGCTTCTGGCACAACTTGCTGAGGGCTGCATGCACCTGTGGAGAAAGGACATTTCCTGAACTTCCTGGACTTCTGCTTCCGGGTCGTCAATGTTGGTGACACCTGTATTCAGAGGTGATCCCGGGAGCTCTGGAGCCCACTGTCTGAAGCTGAATCAGTTCGCACCTCCTGAGGTAGCCAGGGACGGGTGAACCCGTTCTGGGCTTCAGCACCCTCACCTTGCTGTGGAGCACCCCCCGGCCCTTGTGCTGAGGCCAGAGCTGGGTCACCCCAGGTCTCCGCTTGTGAATGCAGCTGCAGGTGTGTTCCCGCGCATAGAGACTTGTGTTTG